ATCTGCGTGCTGCACGAAGAAACACCGTACGCTTAAAATAGAGCTTTTACCAGCAATTCTGGTGTGTCTCTAGGGTCTGCGTAGACCCGCTCTGTGAGACTGCGGAGGCTGTTTGGTGCGGCATGGTGCCCACTTGCTGCTTTTCCATTGCATTCCAGAGTTTTCTTCTGCTCCCTGCTGGGTTGGGTGGGAGCTGGGGCTTGGGGCTGCGGTCCAGGATGGTCCAGGAGGAGACCACTGCTGCAGAGGCGCAACCGGCCGCGGCGGAGCAGCCTGGACCTGGGTTGCCTGGTCCTGAGCCCCAGCACCGGCGCGCACCCTGCCTGCTAATGGTGGGGAGGGAAGAACACAAGCTGGCAAGCTCCTGAAGGAGTGGGATGCCAAGCCTGCTGTAAAATAACCTCTTTACATCCGGAGTTAGGCGAAATAGAGCCTAGACACTCTTCCGCCTCCCATCCTGGCAAACTTGACCAGGTACGCGTTAGAGCCCTTCGCCCTGGCTCTCGGAGCTCAACTAGAAAATGTGTTCAAGGTAACAAGAGACATAAACCCCTTTCATTTTGCAAAAGACTTCAGGTATGTTTGCTGTGTTAATGCTGGGTCCGAGTCTGGCTTGTAGAGTCCAAACTTTGCTCCAGCATCATGATTTAATGGAAACTAGGAAAACTCAGCTCAGTGAAAACTCAGTTTTAGCGTATGATGTATCCCTGCCAATTTCAGTTTTCTTTTGAGCTCTTAAGGAAAAGATGCGTATTGTTACAGGAAGATTTTCTCGGCACCCTGGCACTTTCCTGCCATTACTTATCCGTATAAATAAATACTTTTGCCTCAGTGGTGGAAATGTGTTGCAGAGGTATAGAACCTGTGTGCTCTATATCATAAAACCTATGCTCTTAACTTATTTAGATGTAAGAATACGCCTTAAGAGAACACCGGTAGCTGCATTCCCTGGCAGTGGTACAAAAGTAGTACAAAATGTTTGAGAATCTGTTGTTTTCCAGACCAGACGGACATCTCTCTTCATCCCTTCCCCTCCTCCCCCACATCACAGGTGAAAATAACAGTAAAAAGAAAAATAAATTACTTTGTGCTGTTGCAATACCACTTTTTTCCTCAAGAAATAATACATTGGTACAGGAATTTTAAAGGTTTGTTTTCACCATTGCGTGTAAGAGGACTTGCCCCAGTTACCTGGGAAGATATTTGAATGAAATTGGTAGTTACCTCTGCAGCTGGGGCGCAAGGGGGGTGGATGGATGGACGGACAAGTTAGCGTGTAACTGGATTCTGTCTGGGCTGGGGTTGAAATCTCTCATTTCATATGGTCGAGAGTCGATTGTCCTTAAAATGTGAACTGCTTACCAACCAGCCCCAGCGCCTGCTAACCAGACCCTGCGTTTTCCGCTGCTCCCAGCAAACCCTGCAGTGGGAATTCTGGAGCAAGTTCCAGCGATTAGGAATGGGTTTTAGCCTGGAGCGGTCCTGAACATTTTAGTCAGCTGCCATTGAAGTTAAAAGATGTTATGAAATTTGGAGGAAGACTAACTTGTGTGTTCTCCTGATGTGCCCTTTTTTGTTAGGGAACAGACTCCGCAGGAGTGAAGTTGTAACTTGTAACTCTCAAATGAGGAAGCAAGACTTGGAGGATTTGTTGTTGTGGTTTTTTTTTTTTTTTTTAATATTAATGAAGATACTGGAAATATGTTACTAATTTGAAATCTTTTCCAAAGGCAGTGGAATGCTTTTGATAACATACTGGTAAAATAGGTCTTTCCTGATAACTGCATTACATTAAAAAAAGAAAGAACCAAACCACTTTTCAAAATAGAAATCAGGCTGTGGAATGGCTTTGGTAGAAGCTCTTTTAATAACCACAAAGAAGTCCTTTTTTCTGCTCAGAATGGTGCGGATTTTCTTTTTCCCCCTAGCTCAGATGTCTGAAACCTGTTCTTGTTCTTTATCGTGTTTTGCACCTTGTGTCTGTGAGCAGTCTGTGTCACGTATGGGGACTTGTCATTTAGTCCTAATTCTTTCAATAGTTTAAAACATTTGTCTTGTGTAAGCAAACGTAGGAAAGAGTATAGAGTAATTATTCAAAACCACCACCACCTTTGACTGGATTAACGTCTGTAATAATTTAGTTTAGTTTACCACTTCAGTTGATTTATGGCAACTGAGCAATACGTAGACTAGCCAGCGATTTAGATGACCCGGACATGCCTGAAGCGCAAGGTGGATGACCTGCTGCTGGTAATGGGTAAAAAGCTCAGAAAAGGCAGTTGTAAAGTAGTAGGCACACAATTTAACAGACATAGGTTTAGGCTAAGGTGATATGGTCAGAGCCCATGTGCTTTTATATAGATAGAGATAACATTAAGTTATTGGTTAACATAATAACGGAGCACTCTGGTACTAAGATCGTATCTATACTCTTGAAACTCCCTGTGCAGAGATTCCCGTCTGCAGAGGCCCAAACCCTCCTTGAAACTGAATTTTTAGAAGTTTTTCTGCCCTCTGTAGGTAAACTTCCCCATTAGTGGTTGGGGGTGAGATTTAATTTTGATTTTTAAATATTGCTTGTGCTTAGTACCCCAGGACCACTGGTTGCATATATTTCATATTGTTTCCTGTGGATTTACAGTGTCACTTTTCTATTTTTTTTTATTCATGGCATATGTGTGCATAATTAATTTTCTAGAGGAATTGGGGTGGTTGGGTTGTCTTGTTAGTTACGTAACCTCATCTTTTTGGAGTGGCCCCCTTGTATTTTCCTGGTTCTCAGTGGTTGTCTGATGGTCAGGGAGTACGGACTGAATTTTGTTCTTGACTGTTATGGCAGAGGTTGAAGTCAGAGGAGTTGCCCTGAACACAACATGCTGTAGTGTAGCTGGGTCTGCATAAACAATCGAAACTGGTTTTTAAAGCTGATGATCACTTACTAATTTGCTTGATGAAGATTACTAGCTTTGAATAAATGGACAGTAAAAGTAGGTGTTAGAAAGTTTCTATTTTGATGATGCAGCTTTACTGTGGTATATTCAAATGATCGAGTGCCCACTACGAAGAAGCAAGCAGTCGGCAGTCTAGTAGCATCAGCTCATTTGAATGTAGTATAAAACTTTTTCATGTGTCTCTGGACACTCTCATTGGCATCCTTTGTCAAGTTAATTGTTGTCCATAGACAGTTGGAGATATGAAGGGGTAATATCCCTGAAATTTATCTGCGTGGTGCACTGGAGTCGTTCTCCACTTTGTCAGTGCTTTCATTTGTCCGCTGTGTTTTACGGCGTGCTGTCAGACAGCTGTTAGTCACGGGGAGGTCCTGGAGCGGACGCGAGCTGCGTCGGAGGAGGGTGCTGAGCGCTTTCACGTTCCAGGTCTGCGTGTAACGTTACTGCTTTGGTGCAGGTGCTTTTTGCAGGAGAACATTGCTGCGTGGCAGCGGTGTTTGCTGTGCCGGTCCCTGCTGGTGAGGGCACATCGCTGCAGCACGGGAGCGTTGAATTCATTCCATAAACACTTCTCAGATTTAGAACAAAGTGGTGGGATTTCTCCAAGTTTCAGACTTGTCAACAAATACCCACATCACTAACAAATCCAAAACTTGGAGCGTAAGAGGCGTCGCAACTTGTTCAGCAGTTCCCAGCACTGAAGTTATATTGAAGTTGCACGTGTGGTCTGTAAATATCTGAAATGCCTCAGCCCTGATTTCGTTGTTACATTATGTTACGTGGTGGGCTATGTGGGTGTTTAATTATTTTAACTATGGGCAGCAGATGTCCCTCATCCAAAGGACTGTCATATTTTAGCTGCTTTAGAGACTTGCTCTCCACTCACAAGCAGAGATAATACCTGGCGAAAGCGCGTTACACATGGAACACTGAGCATGCTACTTTGTAATTTCAGTAAAGGATGTACAGACATCTCCTAAAAGCTAATTGTCACTATCGACTACTGTAACTTGTCACAGGTATCTGTTATTTTTGTTTTGCTTAGGAGCATAGTTATGTTAGAGATGAAGTACCTGCCAAAGCTTTCTGTATTTTTTTTCTGTAGTTCAACCTAATCAAATGTCTAACCTTAGCCTTTCTTGAAGTTTCTGGTGTCTTAGGACGGGTTGCTAATTGCAGGCAAAAGGCATCTGTCATGTAGTCAAAGCTCTCTTATTTCCAAGTTCCCCAGCTGCCGTGGTGCTAATGGATGTCCCAGAGCTAAACCGGTTGTCCGTAGAGAAGAATATAAACTAGAGATGCCTTTCTCTTCCTGCCTGCCTTGTGGCTGTTAAATTCTTGAAGGTCTGAACCCTAAAGATATGCACTTGATACCTACAGAGCTTCCAGCTGTCACTAGGAGTCCCCAAACTTGGCTGCCTGCGCTCAGGCTCTGCCTTACAGTAGTTCTGCTGCTCCCCTGGGCGCTGAGCTGGGTGTCTGTCCTACCTGGAAACAGCCACACGGCTAGTTCCATCTTCAGGACCATCTGGAAAGATCGAGGAGGAATTCCTTAACCTTTCAATTATTCAACCAGAATTTCAAGCATGGAGTTAATCCGAAGTCTCTGTAGACCTTGGCACAACAGACGTTGCTGTTTGTTTGGGGATGGCGTGCTTCAGGGCTAGACTCGATCAATAAGTAGTTCCACGTCTTCACTGAAGCGTGTTGTCTTATCCTGAGGACAACATAGACGATGCTTTAATATCTCTTGCTCTTTAAATGAGAGGTATATGGTTAGACCCCGGGGCTTGCAGATTGTTTTGCTACGTGGCTTTCCCATCTTAGTGGTTTGTTCCCGGCTCGCATCCTTCCGTAGGTGTGCGCTGAGGATGTTCACTGTGCGACTCCCGTTGGGTCAGGTGAGTCAGCTTGGGTACCTAAAATCTGACTTGAAGCAGAGGTGGTTAACAAAGCTTCTGGAAGCGTCTGCAGCGCAGGGGAATGCATATGTGTTCTGCCCTCCTTAACTGTTGAGAGGTGCCTTTAGAGATGGAAACTCGCTTGTAGTGGGTGTCCCTGTCCCCTTTCCTGTGTTCTCACTGCTAACAGATTGTGTCATTATTAGCTTTACTAAGAGCTCTATTAATTTTACAGTCCTTTCTTCTCTGAAAGATTAAAAACTTAAGGTGGTATCAGGGTTGAAGCAATCTATTTAAGGGCAGAAATTGATAGTGCCAGCTAAAGGCACGTGGCTTTTGAGGCAGAGGTTCTGGATGCGTGATGGATTATTTAGGAGCAGCTAGTTAAAGGGAAGAGAGCAGATGCACCCTAATAAGAATACCCGCTGTAGGGTAGAGCTGGATTCCGCATTAACACGCTTCTCAATATTTTTTAGCTTTTTGCAAACATACCAGTAAAGCTACTTTTTGCAGTAAGCTTTTCTGCAGTATTTTGTACACTTCATAAAAGACACTTCCAGAATTTTTGTAGCTGTACAGTTGAGGAGTATCTTGGAAGGACTTTTCTACTTGAAATGCATTTCCTGTATCTAGTGCTGTCTTTAATCTCATGCAGTCTCGCAAAACCCCTTCTACCTATTAAATATGCAGTAAAGCTGTTCTGTTTGGTTTAAACAGCCGAAGTCCTCATTGCTCCTGTATTTTAAGATTAAAAATTCAGCTGCAACACTACCTTCAGATTCAGAGCCATTAGAATGGATTTTTCAGATTTATTCTCCTGATTATAATACAGAAAATTAATTGCTTTTGACTGTAAAGAATTATGACCCATTCATTATTTAAGAACCTTTTTGATGGATGAACCTTTTCCGCTTACTTCAAGACTTTTCATGAAATAAGGCTGCTTTTTTAAACAGGTATAAAGCATAATGCACCGCTATCAAACAGTGGGTGCACTGCCCACTCGTTGGGGGTAAGGACTGGTGGAAAAGCAAAGCGGTACTTCCTCTGTGTCTAGTTTGCTTGAGCATTCAACGTACAGGTAGTAGAGCCTGCTGGGAGAAAACGGGAAGTTACTTGAACAGCTTTTAGAATAAATACTTTGGTTTTTTAAAAGGGAGACTTAGTTTCTTAATATGCGCTGGTAGCGGAGAGTACCACTTAGTTTTGCTTGTGTGGGTATTGGAAGTGTTTGTGGTACATACTGGGGAGACGACCTTGTATTTTACTGGAGGTACGCTCCCCTCTGCTCACCGTTCGGCTCCTCGCTGCTGTTTCTTATGCTGCCAGTTCAGAAGGTCTCCAACGATTTTTGTGGATATTTCAGTCTTTGGGCTTGTCCTTTTAGCAGACTAAGAAAGAAGAAAAACTCAAATTTCTTAGACCTTGTTGGTTAAAACTAGCGGAAGAACCAAAATAGTGTTTGGTTACGGCTAGGTGCAGAATCACTTGCTGAGTGCCCTTTGTAGCCAAACCTCTTCAGTCATTCATCACTGAAATAAATATGGAACTTTGTCAATGAGGCAATTGTAGTAATTTTTTTGTGTTACGTGGGGTAACTCCCGGAGCACGTGGTTCTCGATGTCAAACATGACAGCTTTAATTAATTATAGTACAATTGTACCTACTATCTTAACAATAACAAAACTGTTGATTAGGGAGCGATGATTTCGTACAGCTTTTTGCCGTCAGGACAGGTAACAGTAGGTATTACCGTTAGGGCTTTATGCTGGGTGAACACGTGCACTGAAGTCCGTCCCTTGGCCGGTACGCTTGCCGGAGGAGGGAGTTGGTGCTTTCCCAGATGTGCTGTGATTTTCAGTTCATTTGTGCAGTCCTCTCTGCTCAAATTCTTAAGACTTTGGGTTTTTTGCAGTTGTCTTAACACAGCCTACATCTAAAAGTAAATTGCCAGTGATGTTGACATTTCCTTGTTACTAATTGGATTTAAAGGTTTTGCATAGTACACTCAGAATACCATTTTTTCCTCTTAGATATCTTACCTTTGCTCGTGTAAACAACTGCTTTTGCATTTGAGAGGTGCTTTTAATCTTAAAATTAGTCTCTTTGAGAGTTTAAGAAAATAGATTTATCATGTGCTGCTTTGAAGCATTAGAAGGATTTGAGAGGCAGTTAGCCAACTGACATTTAAAACCCTTGAGAACTTGTTCCAGCCAAACCTTTTGCAAAAAAGTAAATGCAGCTAAGGCTTAGTTACTAAAATGATTTTTAGCTGGCAGTTCAGTGCGTGTAATCATCTTGGAACATCCTGAGACTTGTGCTTTTGTTCAGCTGCTATATCAAGGCTTTTGGGTTGTGTCCCTGAACTTGTCACTTCTCTAAATCAGAAATCTTTCTCATGTTCTTGAAGCACCGTGACTTTGAACGGTACGTTCATTGCAGTAGCCCATATAAAGAACATTTCTTGTACAGGGAATGTATTTCTGACACTTTCTAGATGGCTGTAATTCAGAGCTGAAGTGATGTCTTGCTAGTTTGACGTCTCTAAATGATACGGATTGTTTGTCCTTGCTCAGTTCTTGGCAAGGGGGTCCTGTTGGAAACGCCACGCTCCTGCCTGGCACCGTCCCCAAGGGCTGATCTACCAGACGACCCCAGGGGAAGACCCAGGGTTAGAGCCAGGTCTCGGCAGCCCTGCAGCCAGCCTCTGCCGGGTCCTGCCAAGGCTCACGCCGGTGCGCGGGAGAGGATGCTACTGCCCACACTGTTCCTGATGTGGGTACGCACAGGGGTTCAGTCTCCAGGGCCGAGAGTTTGGCTTTTGCTCTCTCATCTTGCTTATACAAACAATTTTTGCTAGTCAGGAGACACCTTGTTTGAGAAGAACCCATGCAGACCAGCTCATTTATTGTAGTAAAACAGAAAGTGCCGTATTTGGTACGATTATGGCAAACGGCAAACCTGACTTGTGTGCTTTGGATAGTGCTGGTGCACTCGTATTGCAGAGAATGTAGACTGCTCTTTGCGTATTATGAAAGAATGAGCTTTTGACACCTCTGTTTGAAAAGGGAGGAAGAAAGAGGCAAATTCAGTTTTACAGTATACACAATTTTAATAACAAAATTTTTCTGTACACTGCGCTTTGTTTTACTCCATTACTTATGCCCCCTCCCACCAGAAAGTGGCTCTTAAAACATCAGTTAAATACAATGCATCTAAGACTCCTTTTAAATCTCTGGTAGAATAGTTCACTCACTAATGTTTTCATGATGGTTAAAAAAACTGGGGTGGGTTTGGTGTGTGTTTGTGGGTTTGGGTTTTTTTTTTTTGTTTTGTTTTCCCCAAAGGAGCGGTTGAAGGATGGCAAGTGCAGCTTTTCATTGCTTACACCAGCGGTGCGCAAGCTGGCCGGTGTTTTGCCCTAAGGTACCACAAGTTTTGCCCTGTCTGAGGCTTGATGGTATCCATCAAAGCTTCTGTTACCTTTCCCTCGATACCTCTCAAAAGGATTTTGATATGAGATGTGAAATGCTGAATTTCCAGATGACTCTGAAAGGATCTCTAAGCATCCTGGCAGCGTGACGCCTTACCAAGCGAAGCCTGGCACCGGTTCTAGCATCCAGGACTCCGCAACGGAGAGAGGCGGAGGGAGGGAGGAGCTGCTGCTCTGCAACTGCCTTTGATTTTTGTTGTCTCCTTGTTCTTTTTTTTTGGGGGGAGGAGAAATACTGTATCTCTCTGAACTTTTAACTTTTATGGAAAACTCCATAAGAAAGATGGAATTCAGCTTCTGGGTAGGTTTCAAAGGGCTGAACAGATGGATTTTGATAGCTACGCAGATCACAAAATGAAATCAACTTTATTTTCATTAAAGTAGTATCGAAATTAAGTTAGACACATTAAAAAATAAGTGTGTAGTGCAGATTTCTGGTTTAAAGCCACTGGATATTTCTGCTTTTACGTATTAGCAGTAGGCCACTGTCTTCTAAGGGGGGTAATGGGACGTAAGCTGAGATGCTTCGATTTGCATGCAGGCTAGGCTGATCGCTGAAAAATCAGATAATTTCTGCTTGGGGAAAAGCAAACAAAAACAAACATTGATACAGCGGCATTAATTATGTTTCCATCTGATAGGAAATGGGAGCTCTGTGCAGAGGAACACTTCAGGCGGAGACTAAACGCTAACCCATTTTACTCTTTATCGAGTCATTTTTAGTTGTGTGCATTTAAACGATGATCTAATGCAGAGCGACTAACGAGAGGGGAACTGAAAGCATTAATTCAGACCCGTTCCAGTATGATGACTCAAAAATTGAACTTGTGCGGTTGGGTTTGCATTTCATTGATGTGAGGGTGGGGAGGAGGAAACGCTGGCTGGAGATCAGTGAGGCTGGAGGAGATCTCTGGGTGGGATGAGGGTCTTGAGAGCAGCAAAAGAAATTTTCATTTCTAAAAGGCCCTGAACAGTTATATGAGGCTGTGCCTGGAGGTGGTGAAGCACCTACAGTGCCATTTCGTGTCTGTAGAAACTGAGGCTGTGCAACAGAGGTGGTATTTGGGGAGAGCGAGTTAACAACCTCTTGTTGTTAGCCAGGGCTTGTACTGAAACACGATGAGTTTAAACCAAATCACTGTGGTTCCATAGACAAAATAAATCAGAGACTGCCCAGTAACACAGTTATTACAACACCCTCCTGGCCTGGAAGAGTCACAAGCGATCGAGAATGGAAGACAGTACCTTTAAAAAAAAAAATTAAAACAAAATAAACCAAAAATTACCAGCCTCTGGTTGTGTCCTTGTGCAGAGCGATGGCTTTGCCTGCCGTTTGCTGTCCCTCCGAAGGGAATTCAAGTTGACTTCGCCGCTAGTGTTTGACATTCTGCGAGTTTTATGATACCTGTTACCCTAACTGTAATGTTTGCAGAATTGCTTTGCTTACGCCTGGAACCTGGCAACGAATGGCTTTGGAAATGGCAGACATAAACCATGGCATTTGGGAGATCGGCTGCGTATTCGTGTGGCGTAGAGTGAAAGTAAAATTGAGCAGTGCTGTGCTAGGCTGTGTCCGCTGCCCGCGAGCCACGGCTGCGCTGCAGGACCAGTGGAAACTGGGGATACTGGTTGGGGAGAGAAGTTGGGTGCTTTGAGAGACACTGGAACAGTGCTTTGATGCTTGGAAAATTGGTCTGAGTGGCTGGGGTGGAGGAGAGGGATTAAATCCAGCATTGCTGGAACATCTGTCTTTACTCTTCTTGGGCATAATTAGAAGCTAATAAAGATGGAGTGGGCTTGCGCGCAGAGCTGGGGCGTTGGGAAAGCACCTCCTCAGCGCTTCAGTCAAGCGGCCACTTCTCATTACCATGTGGAAGACTGACGTGTGGTACCTTTTGAGCTGTCTAGCAGCAAGGCTTTCCACTGGGCGTGGAGGAGAAAGGTGGAATTCCTTCTCCCAAATGCAGCTGAGGACACCGGAGTTCAGTATTGACATCTGATGGCTGATGATAGTGTAGCAAGATTATTTGGCTGCCAGTATAATTAATGAGTTCAGTTATAACTTTGTCTCTGCTGGTACCCTGCAGCTCTACCTGAAAATCATTCCCAAAAGTAACCTGCTGCCCAGTTCCCCCCAGCGCAGAGCGTGGAGGCAGTGAACAGGAGGTAAGGGAGATGCGCAGGCAGGGGCAGGGTGCTGCCGAGACAGCCGTGCTCGCTCGCCTGCCCGCGGCAGAGCGGCAGCCTGGGCACGAGGGAAGAGCTGGGAGCTGTTACTGGTGGTAAGGACCGGAGCAAGTTTTTCTACAAGCAGCTAAATACCCTCCGATACCGACACATTTTCGTATTTATCAGCTCAGGTCTGGCCTTCTGGCTCAGGTGGGATTTAGTCATACAGCGTATTTGCTCTTTGTCCACCTGCCCTGCAGGACTTACTGTATTCAGTTAAAAGCAGTAATTGACTTCCTAGAATAGGTGTAAATCGTCTCGTTGGGGTAGAAACAGTTGCGAGGGTTCAAAAGCATCTCTATGGAAAACCATTAGGGCTTCACCGAATCTCTTCCGTTAAAGTACAGAGTCGCAGGAAGTAAACAAAATATTTGTTTTATAATAAGGGCGCTGTATGCAAAAGTCAAATGATGCAAATTAATATCTTCAAAACCAGTAATTGAAAAAATCTTTATGTAAAATCTTAACAGAAGTCACACTTAGCTTGCTATAATTGCCTTGGACGAATTCATTTCACAATAAAACATCAAACTGTTGTATAATTGCACCCTAAATACCTCACTAAGTGGTAATACAGATATATAAAAGCAGAGTGAAATAGCAAACAGATTTTTATGCAGTGATTTTTCTTGGTTTAAAAAGTTGGCGGAATAGTTTAGTACAACACAATTAGCATACTGTAATTACTGATTTGTTCAAGGTATGTCAACACTGTGAGGAATTTCTTTTCTTCATCGGTGTGTGCTGGTAATTGTTTAACACTGCAGCATTGGACAACACATTTTTTTAGTTATACATACATGTATATTTATATAAAAAAAAAAAACCAACACTTCCATCCCTCTGGTCCTTTTAGCTTTGGTTAGAATGTTTACAATATTTGAGCAGTTGACTTAAAAATAATGTAATCCTTTGCAACCCCCCTCCACCCCCCCGCCCCCGTGGCATCTGAGTACCACCATCGCTGCATAGATCTGCAAATATTTACATATAATTTCATAATATAGTATAAATAGCAATATGGTACTTCTGGCTAAAGAAACCAAATTACTCCTTAAAAATGAGGTGCGTGTGTGTATATATATTTATATATGATTTTTTTTTCTTTAAAATGGCACACTAGTTTAGATTCTGTCCCATATCAAGTAAGAAACGAAACATTTTTCAGTGAACTATTCTATGAACTAATTACATTTCCCTAACTTATCAGGAGGTACGATTTGTTTTGCGGGCTCTTTTTTTTGTTTTAACTGGTAATTATCTTGAATTTTGGAACAGGAGGACAAGTGAGAGCTTATATTACAGGAGCTAATTCTGTCTCCAGAGAAACCAGTGGAGTTAGTGCATGAAAATAGCTTCCAGGCGAGAGGAAGCCTCAGCTGGGGGGGGGGGGGGGGGTTTACAAAGAGAGGCTTCTTCCTTCCTTCCTTCCCTCTTTTCTCCTTAACCTCCCAGTTGATATTTACTTTTAATCAAGAAAAACTTGCATTAAGTGTATTTACACATGAAAAGGTGTTGAAATGCTGTTTGTTCATTGTCAGAAGTAATTAGCCTGAATTCATGAAAAGCATCATCAAGTCAAACCAGAGAGCCGATAAGAATTGAATGCACTTAATATTTAGAGTCGATCCTGTCGTGCTGAGCTTTCCTTAATAAGCTACGCTGCCTACTTTGGGACTGCCTGGAGAGTCGTCCTGCTGATTTGCGACCGTCCTGCTGATTTGTGACCGTGTGACCCGCTCCTTTCTGTATCTGTTGGGAGCTTTAGCAAGCTCTGTTCAAGCAAGCCAAACTATGAATGCAGGTAGGAAAGCTGTAGTTAAAATAAATTCACCGGTCCCCAGTGCACTTAAATCCCCACCTGGACCTTCGCTGCTCTTTTTTTCTGTTTCCCCTCCCCTTTTTTTACTGGAGCGAAATTATCAGAGGAGGAAAAGCTCCCTCCACGGCTGCCTTTAAATGAACGGAGCCAGCTGGAGCGTTTGGGATCCTACAGCTGCAGTGGAACAAACGGAGCGTATGTCCCCCCCGCAGATCTCTGGACAGATATCCAGTATCCTTCCCCGCCGACTGGTTCCATTAGAAAAAGTAGAATATGGAGACTCGGGTATAAATGTTTACACACAGCCATATAATTACATAACATGAAACATTTTACATAGCTTGAGGTGAGCATCTTTTTAGACTTTTAAACATTAGGAGTGCAAGTTTAATGTAATCATTGCTTCTTTAACACTGAAAATATTATGGATTTATTTTTTAAAAAACTTAAAAATAAAAAATACTGCACCACTCCATAAACAATGTTTCCATTAAGTAGCTTGGAAAATTAGGCTTTATGTCAACATTTGTAAAAATTAGAATCTGATGTAGGTCCCCTACAATTTTAAAATAGGTTACTTATCTGATTGATTTTGTGATGGCATGTAGGTATTATACTTCACATTCTTTGTACGGCAGCTGCTGACACTTGCACTGTCCGTAGCCGTTAATGATGATGAAGGGTCCTTCGTGGGTGGGTTCGTATTCGTTATAGGGTCCTTGGTCTGACATATTTGCCATATGCAGCCGTGTTTGGGATCGGAGCTGCCTGTGGTTTTGAATCATTGAGCACTGCCTAATTCTTCTTAATGTGGGAGGGCAGCACTTCCTGGAGATGAACACTATAAAAATGATAAAAAAGAAAGAAAACAATAAAGCCATTGTTCCTGTAATTACCCTCTGAGTGAAGATGGCATTGTTTGGCTCGGGGAAATGTTCTTCGGTGGTAACGACCATGCCTGCCGTAGTTGGAATCTCTTTGTCTCCCATATGGAAATGAGAAGAGCTCATTCTTTTCGTGTACTCGGTAGTCGGATCTGCGTACGTGGTAGCCACGGGCGTAACAACAGTCGATACATTCCAGCAGAGCTGAAACCCGTACACTGCATCCAGAATATCCTCTCCCTGGGTGTGGTCGGGGCTGTGGCAGAGGATGGAGTGCTCCCACCGACCTTGGAAGCCACTCAACCATGTGGCCAAGGCGCAGATCTTTGGGCTGCATTCCCACAGATTGCCGGAGAGGCCCACGGTGGTGAGGGACGTCAGCGAACTCAGGATCTTGGAATCCAGAGTGGTGAGCTTGTTGTTATCCATTAGGAGGGTTTTAAGGTTAGGCATAGTTTCAAAGACTGTTAGGTCGATGGCTTTGATCTCGTTTCCAGTCAAATCGAGCTTTTCCAAGGTGCCCCAGGTCCACTCCATGCCACACGTCAAGTTGCTGATTTTGTTCCACTGCAAGAAGAGCGTGTGCAGGCTGCTCAGCCGGAGGAAGTGAGCAAAATTAATCTTTGTCAGCTGGTTGTGCTCGAGGTGAAGCTCCCTCAGCTTGATTAATCCCGCAAATCCGTTGCGAGCCAAACTTCGCAAACGGTTTGTGCTCAGATCCAGGAACTCCAGGCTACGACAGTCCCAGAACAGGCGGACCGGGATGGTCCGCAGGGAGTTGGATCGCAAGTGCAAGGTCTGTAGCTTGCGAAGGCCGTAGAAGAGCTCAGGGTGCAGAGAGGATAACTGATTAAAAGAGAGGTCCAAATTCTGCAGGTTAAGCAGCTGGCTAAAAGTTGTGTTTGGCAAATGAAAGATTTTGTTGGAACTTAAGACTAATTCCTTAAGTTTATACAGTCCTTGAAAAGAATCTTCTCTGACTGTTGCAATTTGATTATGATCTAAGTGAAGCCAAGTAAGTTGACTGAAGCTTGCAAATTGATCCCTTTCAAGTTCAGAAATAGAATTGTGCCTCAGTGACAAACCTAGCGAGCCCTTTTCAGTGGTGTTTGGCACTGAGTGAAACCCCTGAGAGTCACAGTAAAAGAGCAGCTTCTCACAGCGACATTTTGGTGGACAAGCCATGCCCAAGGCAGGCAGCATTTTTAAAACCATACTCATTGCATATAGTGCTGCCAGCATACGAGCCCCTAATGGCCACTTGAAATGTAAGCCTGCAGGATATAATTTAGGAAAACAACAAGATAGGATAGCCTTATCAGTATACTTTGAACATCACGGTGGAAGATTTCACTGCAGATAACATTGCCATGCATTTCCGACAAGCTAATTCTAAAGGCAAGAAACAACTTACTACGCAACACGCAACACTTGGATATTACACTTAGGAGGAGTCTTTATCTCGGTTACAGAGGGTTACAGTGTCACAATCGGGAAAACACATTCTTTTTTTTATAAGGTTCAGCGCAGAAAAATTTGCTTTAGCCCCTAACTGCTCCTGTAAAGCATAGCCGGTCATTCATTACACAAGGTATAGAGAAACGCAGGGACTTACCCATTCTTTTGAGTACATTGGAGGTTGCATTCAGTCGTAGTTTTAGACTCAACGCGGTGAGTCTGTGAAAGGCTCTAATGCGAGATAGCCTTTGAATAATTTACTGGGTTTGGTGTCCTTTGATATTAGTGCAAAATTGAATCCGCAATGCTCTCTTGGAATATTCCTTTTGAAATCACCGGCTTGATCTCCTCTGGCAGGTCTGCAATTTTTAACTCAGCGCTTAATACAAGTTTTCATCCTCCGCGGCTGCTCAGCTGTTTAATTGAAGCTCACGTTTCCTTTTTCCGCAGCTGTGGCTTCCTTTAGTCCTAACTTGTTGATGGCAGATGGGTGGCTTATTGCTGAGAGAAGCTCCTGGAGTAGCATGAGTGCATTTACTGAAAAGCTTTTCAGGGAAGCGGTACAAGAATGGATTTGCTTATGCGCTGCGACCACACAGGGCTGTATATAGACTGACGTCACCCGGTGACGTTCCTTTTGTTTGGGTTTTCCAGAAGCTTTGCTGTTTTAAAGCACTGTGGTGCATACTGTGATCGCGTTAAAGACCGCTGATAGAGGGGAGGGAGGGGGGGAGCAATGGTAGGAGTCCTTCGTCCCCACGATAGAAGGACTGGGAAAGACTTGCACCACCCCGCTCCCCCCTCCTACATCTGTGCCGGCTGTGTTCAGCCGGCGTTAAAAGCAGCGCAGAGCTGCAGTTGGAAGTGCCTTAGTGCTCGGCTGCTGCCAGATTTCTGTTAAATATCGCTGCATAAAAGGAACTTTTAGAGGCAAAATCCGCGCAGTTTGACTAGAGGATGCTGGTTAGCACCAGCTTTTTGCAGAGGTGAGAGGGATTTGGCAGCCTAACAGCTGCGTGCGGCTGTGGTCCCTGCAAAAGTGGCACAGGGAGAGAGCACAGGCGTTTTCGATGAAGGTGGTGTGTCAGAAAGTATAGCGCGCAGCCCGGGAGCAAAGGACGGGAGCGAACATTTCAAGCGATGAGAAATTTCTGGAAAAAGCAAAGCTTGCGCTACGGCACGGGAAAAATTTAATTGGAATCCGGCTTGACAGCATGCGGTTATGAAACTAGAAAATCTATTTTTCCCCCCCTCAAACGGTGGCTTTTGTGCTTGCTTTTTCCTGGAGACCGGAGGGGAGGAGAGCGAGTTGTGCAGTTGGCGTTTACCGTCGGGGCTCAGAGCAGTTTGGGGGCTTCCTTGCGGTCGCTGATTACGTCCTCGTGTCATACGCCCCCCGTGAAAGGGGGGGACACTACTTCCATTAGCGTCTTGCTGCGGGGTAGGTCCGTAACGGTTACCTGGTGTGTTTTAGAGTTGCAGAAATTTGCATTTGGAGAAGTGGGGACCCTGCAAAGCTGTCCGTGCTGCTACAGCCCAGCCGGTCTCTGGCCGCACAGCATGGAAGAGGCAGATGCGCTGTCGTGGCTGCTTGTTTTAAAAGTTCATTGCCCTTTTCTCTGGAGCAAACTCTCCTCTGGGACAGCTGGTACTGAGAGGTAAATGAACGGACTTGATTTATTTATTTATTTTTTTAAAAAATGGTTTTAGTCAGGATTTTTGCGTGCATGCGCAGGAAAGCCTTCGGAGCAGCTGCACTGGCCTTGACTCAGTGTGGATGAGGCAGGGGGGTGCTAGCTTCCCGCTCCAAGCAACTTGGATAAGCTTTTTTATTTTCACCTTGAGATGCAAAGCAATAATGTAGTAGAAGGCACTTGAAAATGTTTGCTGTGTAGCGACAAGGTATCACTTACAACCTCAAGATACGGGAAGAGCTGAGAATAAGAAACTTCCCATGCTGATGGAGGAAGATGATGGATTGTGTCAAAGAAGATTTTAAAATAAAATGGCTGTTTACCTTTTTTCTTAAGCTTTGGTTCTTTAGAGGTACTTATTTAAACCAAGACTTGTTTTTTTCTACCTGTTTCTCCCTTCATTGTCCCGGGGCGTAACTGTAGCACTGACTGCGGTACTTCTTTCTGTGGTGGGCTGTCCTCTCCCGAGCAGTCTGAAGGGAAGTGCTAAGTTGAAAGCAAAGGTATGGGGAGGGGGAACTCTTTTAAAAAGAAAACCTCAAACCCACCCAAAACCCAAAGCAAGACAACAAAACCCACCCCCCAGCCCATCGGTAAAGTAACTAATGATAAAGCAAATTAGGAAACACTAGACAAACTTCTTAAATTGCTCTGCTGTAGTAAATATTTTCACATTTGCTGTAGAGTGAAGGAAATACACGTAAAGAAATTCCGTAAACCTATTTAAAGAGTTTCTTCGCATTTAATGTTCACCGGATGAGACGTACCAGAGCAGAGATCCGGCCTTAGCCGTCAGCTGCCTGATGGCATCGCTGCACCGAAGTACCTGCGGTTGTGCTTCCCGGAGCAGCTGTCTGGGGCACAATCCTCATTTGAAGTGTTGATTGGAATTTCAATAACATTTACATTTGATGACATAACATTTAAAAACAACATTCCACAGGGTGTCACTGATCAAATGACAACAGCTATAAGGTCAAATGTTACTCCTCTCCTGTGCCACCTCTTGTGGCTATTACCAGGAGGCTGAAATTAGGTATCTTTTGGAAATGTTTTGCGTTTTTGCATTGGTATCTGTTGGTAGGTTCCTCCCACATTAAGATTGTGTAATTTGGCACAGAGTTAAGAGTTAATGTTCAAACACGGTAAGTCGCTTCCTTTCTGAAGCTCTCCGTTCTTTGGCCCGTAACCAAACAAGGGCTATTTAGCACCTTGCCAGCGAGTTTCCTGTTTGGGAACTGTTAACGTGAACTTTATGGGCGCTTTTCTTAGCGAAACATGTTTTTATGTGCACTTGTCGTGAAATAACAGATATTACTGAAAGCGTGCATCTTATTCTTCAAAATCTGGAACTCTGCAGTAGTATTCACGTTGCTCCTTGGGAGCTGCCTGGGGTGTCGAGGCATAATAGGCCGGGAATAAACCCCGGCTGCCCACAAAACTCTTGCAATTGCATTTCTCCTGAGACTTCAAACTCACTTCCATGCCGAGGAAAACCACTTACGAGTGCCATCTGGGGACTTCTGCCAGAACGGGCGCTTCGAAGTAATGGCCTGAATCGTCACGTGCCGCATGGAGAGAGAAGACGGCGTGTCTGCTTCAGGAATAAGCTTGCTAGGACTCAATAACCCTCGTGGGGGCTTCTCCCTTACCCTGCTCCTTGAGCAGCAAAAGAACTGGTTTTCCTGCTAAACCTACATGCTGGAAAAGTAGAATTGCACCCCGAGGCTAGCGTTGTCATTTAGTTAGGCTGACATCTTGTGGAAGCCTTCCTAGTGTATTAAGAACAACCAATAAGCTAATTTTACTTGATGTCGATGTGGGCTGCGTGGCCTTCTTCTGCCGTGGGCTTGGAGGATGGCAAGCCCCGGAGTCGCCGGCGAGGCTGGGGCACGCGGGATTTGCAGCCGCGCGCATGGCTCCGCGCAAACAGACAGCGCCCCCTTCTCCCTGAAGAAATGATTGCGTTAATTTTTGCTGGATGTTAGCGTGTCGGGACTCCTGGGAGTGTTTGCTGCTTTTTTTTGCTAAAAGATAGCCTTCGTGCTGCGTCAGTAAGGCTGTGGGGCGAAGGAGACGAGCTCAGATGTGCGGCTGTAGCATTACTGTTGCATGTACTGTCACTCAGATGGGCTACTATGAAGCTGCGCTAACCGTGAGCCCTCAGACGTGGACACGGGAGAAAAGGGCACGTCCAGGGCGATGCAGCATCAACAGACGTGGGACAGGGCACCATGGACTGGGTGTCATTGTCTTCCAGGGAGCAAAGGACACGTGTGCTGTGGTGTAGCGTGGTGATCATCACCTCTCTGTCTGCCAGCTCTGTCCCTGGCACTGGTTGCGCATTTTAATTCCCCTGTGTACCAGGATCAGTGCAGGAGCCAGCCCTCCCCTCTCCATGGGAGCGTGGGGGCTGCGGCCTGGCACGGAGGGATGCTGGGGTGGAAGCGGCGTGGCACGGCATGGCAAGCTGCGCAGGAGAGGCAGCGCGGGCATCTTTATT